GTATAATTATGGCTTAAAACCCCGCAAACATGGAAAGGTATGTTGGTGTTTAAATTAAATACATTTGATTATTTTATTATTTCTTGTTCTAAACACACAGGTGATACCGCTGTTCTGGACTTGAAGACGCTAGGGATCACGTGAGAAAACCACACACGAAAAATGTTCGCATAAGATATGGCAAAAATGTAAAGGTTTGTTGATGTTTAAATTAAATACATTTGAATATTTTATTATTTCGTGTTTTATACTACAGGTAATGTCGCTGTTGTGGACTTGAAGCATTGAAGATGCTAGGGATCACCAGATCTCCAGATCCAGTGAGAAAACCACACACGAAAAAATTTCGCATAAGAGACAAGTAAGGTTGTCTGAACCTAATTATTCGTCTATTAATGTAAAACTATTATCTGTATTTTTTCATTTTTACCAGTTTAATTTTGGTTGCTTTCTATTTTGCGATAAGCATGTTTTCTTGGATCGAAGGAAAGCAACAAAAGTAAAATTAAAGTAATGTATCAATGCAAATTGCTATACCTAACCGTATTTCTACACAATAGAATAATCTGTGGATGAACGAAAATACTCTTCTATCAATGTAAAACTATTAACCGTATTTTGTTGTTGTGACCAATATTAAAATTTGTAATTGCTTATAGAATTTTTGTTAAGAGCACATTGCGAAACACTTTAATTGACCGAGAACGAAATGAAAGGGCAAACGCCACAGAGCGGGAACATGTAAGGAATATAAAATAATAAGTGCAGTTTTTTAGATAAATGTTTGTGTTCTATCTCACAGTCTGCATACAGATGAAGAAATTCGGCTGTGCATAGATGGATCTGGTTATTTTGACGTGCGGGCTCCAAATGATTAATGGATCAGAGTTAGGGTTACTCCTGGAGATTTACTTATTGTACCAGCAGGAATTTACCACCGATTTACTTCGGATACCAAGGTATGCCTGTACATACAGGGTAATTTTGTAATAAAATTGCGCGGTCAGAAATAATAGAACGTTTTCTATGCATATGAGACTGCAAGTAAATTATATTACAGACCTGGGCGTCTTTATTATTGGTCTCTCATATTTACAAAAATGAAGATTCTCACCCACTCCTTTGTGTGGTGTTATATAGGAAAAAAAATCCAAAGTTAAGAAAACACACGCTTCAGTTATGGAACTAAATGTGAAACTTTATAGTGCTTTAAATAGTAACGCAGCTTAAATCGAAAACCTCTTCAGGAAGCTCGAAGCTTGACGTTAACTATACAAATATTCTGCCTTTTATGTAATATTTACTTGTATATCCAAACTGAATAAATTATGGAGTAATACTTTTTCCAGAACTTTATTGTTGCCAAACGATTCTTTGTTGGAGAGCCGGTTTGGACTCCTCATAACCGACCCGCAGACGATATGGATGCTGGAAAAAAATATGTTGATAAACTAACCGAGGGTAAATTCGTCCAAATTCGCTGATACTTACTATTTTATAGATTAAATTTTTCAATTATGTCTATTTAATATTAACAGCGTTTTTCTTCAAACTTTACTTATTAGATACATGGTAAATATTACAAGCAGTTAGCAACGATTCGTGCTAACGCTGTGATTCTGGTGTTAAAAAATGCTGCTGTGCGAAATGTGACCTTAAACGTAAATGCATGTGCCCGTTTTGAGAAGATGTAAATGTTTTTTGACTATTGCAATATAATTTATAATACCCAGCAGCAGTGGCAGCTTTTGTCAATTTATGGTCAACGCTATGAGTATATTCGATTATTGAATACGTTTTCAACTATACATATTTTTCATTTGGTCTAATCTATAATACTGATAAGAGAAACACTTTGTTCATCAAACCTTGCGAAAGTTGACTTTCCATTACTTAATAAAACGCTTTATGTAAAGCTAATATATAAAGCTAATTGAAACTTAACAGGCTTTTGTGAGAAAAATGTGTTTTAAAAAGTGGTTTCAATTTAGAAAACATCAGTTTTTCTGAAATTTTATTGGGCAAAAAAATGTTTTGAGGAACAATCTATAAAAGTAGGACCTGATTTATGCCTGCCTTAATAAATTACTCCATTTTTTACAACTCTCCAAATTCCGTTTGAAGAATATTTTGTCATTTGGGCAGTATCTCGATAATAACGTTTAGAATTGCATCTGTGATTTATAATAATAAACTGCAAATACTTCCAAAACCGCTAGAGATAAGGATAAATGGGATGTATAATAATAAGGTTAAGAATCTTTGGGATAACTTACATTGGTTTCAATATACAGGGCGTCTCAAATTGCGTTTTTAACCACTAAAATGCACTACTTTTCCATAACAAAACAAAAGACACCATGACGTTTAAGGGGTGAATCACTCCGAAGTCAAGGCAACGCAGTTCGAAAGATTTTTCGCCTTTGTGAAATCTACATTTTGTTAGCACTTAATTTTTTTAGACCAATTTTCTGGGCGGTTTTGGCATTTTTTTGTGTTTTGGTAGTTAAATCTATGTTTTGCTTGTTCTAAGTGCGAGTTGACAAAGCGAAAGGAGTATTCTGGCATAAAGAGGATATAAACCTTCTATTTAAAGAACAGCTAGACGAATACAGCACTCTACGATTCGGTTATATCATTTGTTTTTTCGGCTGGCTTCAGAATTTTAAAAGAATGTCTAGATAAGAGCTCTCTCGGAATACAGTTGAAATGAATGTGCTTATTTGCTTTTTTAGCAGCATAACGACCAAAGAAGGACCAAAATTATTCTTAAACTGATAATATATTTGGGAGAATAAATGATGACATACTGTATATATTTTAAAAAGTACTAGGCAATAATGATAATTTGTTGAATCGATTTAGCTTTATTGAATAGATTATACATTCCAGTTTATTGAAATTAAATTGCCGTATTGTTAACATAGCCATAGTCTGCCTTAATTAAATCAGCAGCCTTTTCAGCTATCATGACTACAGCGGCCGTTGTATGTCCAGACACTGTGGTCGGCATAATTCCAGCGTCGACCACTCTTAGTTGATCGATTCCATGCACTTTTAGCTCGGAACTCACTACAGAGGTAGATGTATTTGTTCCCATAGCGGTTGTACCCACCGGATGAAGAGTCTACATAAGTTACGAAAAAATAATTAAAATATAATTTTTCTAGAAGGCTCTAAGTATTGTTGAAATATAGCAGCAATGTGTGAAAAATGCTGAATTACCCCGCAATATCTGAAATCTGGGATAAATATTGTAAAGGAGTTGATTTCTTTTTGTTAAAGTCGTGATAAATTGCACTCACATTATGCCGGGTCTAGACATAACGCGATGTCAACACAGTCATACCGCGACAGAAGCGCGAGCGACGCGCATTTTTCGAGTATTTCTTCAAATTTTGATTTGGCACCCAATGATTTATAAATCAAAACCAAATTACGTGTTAAATGATTGGCAAAGTAGTCTCAAGAAGAGGTAGCCTTGAAAGGTACATTTGATCCCATTTGGCCAAGTACCATTGAAGGCTTAAAAAAGACAAGAAATTACACACTTCAATACAAAAAGACCGGTTCTTTGATTCCATCCAGTGTGTACTCACCCATTCCTATTATTTAAAGTATATATTGTTTGTTATTCATGGAAATTATGTTCATACACTTATTAGACCAAATTATAGAAATTACTCAATCTTTCAATAGGTATATCTCAACATTATGCTCACCGAAATCGAGTAATACTGCACGGTGCAAAGCCACCAGTCTTTGGACAGTTTATCATAGGCATCATTGCAAACGGGGACATCAATATAGATGGCAGTGGCCCCAAGTCGTTGAAAAGCTGTTGTGTTTTCCAGTTTCAATGCTTCTTGTATTCCGAGATAGAAAACCTCCAAATCTTCATCCTCAGCGAAATAATTCACGTCTATGATTGGGTAATCACTGGGATCGCTGGACTGTAAAGTCACCGTTCCTCGGGAAAGCTGGTGCAGTAAAACCAGTTCTACTGAAAGGTCTGTCGATGCGTTCAACACGTCGTATGGAGATGCGTATTCGTCAGCAAACCTTTAAAAACATCACTGTTAAAATAGCAAATGCAGCCTGATTAATGGTGAAACCACATACAGAGAGCCAATACTCGATGAAACAGATGGTGGCCCTGCAATAAATGCCTCCAT